GTATCAAAATGTATCAAACACTGTATTAACGCTGGGTTCATATGCTCAGATTTGTACTTTTTCTAACTAAGTAGTATGTTTTAGACTGATTCTGGTGTACATATATAGCAATGCAAATGTATCCTTTTTTTAAACTTTTGTACTTCTGAGCATGCTAATTTCATTGTTAAATTAATATACATACATACAATGTATGTATTTCCTACTTTTATACCGGTCAGTGCTAATGTATATTTAAAAAATTATTATACCCAGTCCTACCACAAAGTATAAGCACCAAGTCTCCATCAAAAACCTGCTGATGATATTAGCAGTGTAACACCATAATGCCTTAATGTCAGTGGTTACCTGTATGTTGACCTGATAGTCAGTGGGTCCATGTATTGAACCATACAAGCCAAACCCTACTATGGATATTCTTCTGTTAACATTGAATCTACAGTGAGAGAGAGAGAAAAAAAACAGACAGAGAAAAAGAAAAATGAGAAAAATGAAACTGTAAGTCAGTTTGTTCTGTTTAACACTCAACCACCGTCATCTCACCTGATTCTGTCGCTGGTACCACTGTACCCCCATCGACTCTCAACCTGCTGGAATCTATTAATGCTGCACTCCTCCCCCCTGAGGCAGCAGCGAGGCCTGTCAATGTAGTCGACCCGTGGTTTGGGGTTTACTGTAAAGTGTAAAAACAGATTTACCACCTCCCGATCGAACAATATTCCAGACTGGGCAGGCCCTGTTGCACAAGAAAGAATATCAAACTGGTTTCTGTGGTTTGAGCTGTATGGACACATCAGGAACAAGATGAATATGCGTTGTATTGTCTGAACTAGTCAGAATAGTGATGAAAAATAAAAAAGCACCATTGCAGCATAATAAACAAATATTTTTGTGATACACTTACCTGCAGCAAACTCCTCAACAGTCATGAGCGGGAAACGGATGAGCGGGAGGGCTTTCCCCAGAACTTTCTGTTTGTTCTCAGATGTCGGGGGAAGCTGTTGTCTGTAACACTCAGCTTCTGCCCAGCGTACCACTGCTCCAAACAGACGGTTCTCCCTGATGCTGAGTGTGTCTCTTTCTAGCACTGCACATAAGGTGTCTACACATGCAAATACACAAAATATCAATCATTTCACAAACCAACAACCTGCATAGACGGAAATATCTAGTCAAGAAGATTCACATACCGAGGTCAATATCAGTAAAGCCCTCTGCATTTATTGCGTCTGCAGTGCTTTTGTCTATAGTGTCTAAGCAGAGACTGGCAAGTTGAGGCTCATCAAATAACCTTGCCTGCAAAGAAAGCACAAAAGAAACCATTTAAATATCTGTTAGTCAATCGGTCATGCATCATACATGAAGTGTATCAGTGTTGCTGCATTTTTTAACTAAAACATGCTAAATTGAACAAAATGTTAAAATTAATGCAAACATGACCTAAATTGTGAGATCCTAAATCTAAGTCTGGCGAACTAGTGTTTTAGCAAAAATATTGAAAATATTGAGAAAATGTTAATGAGAGTACAATTAGATAAGAAATAATCTTAATCGTTAAGAAAACACTGCTGGGAATATGGGTTTGTTTAGGTGGGTTTTAGACGTCTGTTCTATGTGATACAGTGATAGACAAGAAGAAAGGACTGTTTTTTTTTTTTTTGATTGGATGGCAGCCTGAAGGCATAGCAACCAGCAGCAGAACAAAATGCTGAACCCAAAGAAACAGCAGCATAAACTGAAAATAGAACAGCTAATGCCATAAAAACCCAGCCATCGATGGCTGGAAAATGGTCTGGTGTGGACACAAAAAAAGAAAAATGGCTTCATCCTCCACTGTAAACACTTCTATCAGACAGCATCCAGCAACTGGGAAGAGCAACTCTAAATTGTTCTTATATTTTTCACATATTGTCCCAGAAAACATGATTTTTGTGATTGAAACCTTCCATTTCTGCCCTGCAGTAAAGAAATCTGTGTTTTCATAAGGCCTTTTTTTATTACTGGTCTGTGAATGAGCTGACATTTAAGCGCATTTCTGAAAAGAAATTTTGCTTTCCAATGTAAAGGATTTGATCATCATATTAAATATGCTTAATTAAATGAATTTAGTGACTGGCATAAAGTGACATTGAAGGTGGCAAATCAAAAGTACAATTCAAAGTGTTAACTGCCGCTCAGTTTTAGTAACAAGTACACAGATACACAGTCAAGGTGGCTGAAAATAACCTGAGTGAGAAGCATGAATGCGTTGTCGGCTCGGAGGTGCTTGGTGAGGAACTCGACACAGTGACCCTCCAGAGCAGGGACAGCATACTTCTTCGCTGTATATAAAGTCGTCATCACAGTCTCCGGACCAATGTGGACCTCGTCGGAATACAGGAATCTGTAGAGAGGAAAACGGGAAACAGAACAACATGTACTATCAGGTATCATGTTGTTACGTAGCATGAATTCTGAACAAGTACGCCACTGGCTTTTAGGATGACAAATCTTAAAACGTGACAAGAATCTGCAGTATGTAGGTGGTGTTAAACCTCAATCTGTCAACAGCACTAAGTGCTGAAAGTAGTCAGGTTTATAGTCTTCTTTACTTTCACGTTCGATACATGTTACTTCTTCAGTTGAATGACAAATACATGTTTTATCAATTATATTTTATAGGAAGGCATCTAAAAACTACTTTCCTGAATAATTAAAAGGTTATGAAGCTATAAATGCTGTGTGTAAATGGTATTTTGGCTTTCAATATTGATCAATCTGGTCATTCTTTTCTAAATTATTCAGATAATCGTTTGATGTATGGATTATTTTTTTCCCCTTCTAAATAACAGTCCAAAACTTAGGAATATCTACCTAATTATCATACAAGGCCAAGAACAGCAGAATATCTTCACTATACAAAGCTAGAATATGAACAATATTTCCTTGAGAAATAACTATAAAGATAACCTGATTATTATGCATGTTGCTGGTTGCTTTTCTGTTGCTCTACCACAAAGCTCCACAGCACAATACACTTTGATCTGGGAGTATGTAACAGTATATGCTGCTGAATGCATTCACTGTGTTGATGAAGGTTTAGATAGACTCCGGGTAATTAGGTGGGCGTGGGGACAACTGGTCATACCTGAGCAGGGCGAGGAAGGCTGCCGGCTCCACATCAGGCAGCTCTATTTCAGCTGAAGTCGTGGCCATCCCTCCGTTAAACATTGCATCAAAAACGGCGCTGCCAGCGGCCAAGACGAATTTGTGGGCCGGTATCCTCTGGGCCTGTCTGCCTTTCCCCACAATGAACCTGACGTCGCTGAGCAGCTCGTTGTTGAAGAGGAAGGCGAAACGCTCCTTCAGGGAGCTCTTCGTCGCCTGCCAGTTGTACATGGGCTCCCGGTGGAGGCCGAGGACGGGCGGGGAGGCGGACGGCGTAGGACCGGAGGCTGGCACGTTGGAGAGCGCCGCTGCGGCTCCACAGTGAGCCGAGTTGGAAGCTGCCTCCTGACCGTCATGGTTTGACGCCAACCCACTGCCGCCGCTGCTCCCGGTCGCCATAACGACACAGTTTAGTGTTTATTTGCTCTGTTCCTACAAAAAACGACCCGGTAACGACACACGAACGAACACCAACCGTAATGTCTGTGTTGTTATTTATTTACGTGGTATCCATCGCAGCGGACGCCATCACTCAGGTTTAGCTACCTGCTAGCTTGTGCCTCTCCAGAAGTGACGCAGGCGCACTTCACCCAAAACACTTTTTTTTTCTCCTTCTAAACTTTATTGTTCAATTTAAGCGCAACAAACAAACAAACAACAGCGCTGTAAATTGGCAATGACAACGAAAATAGGCATTATATTCATTTTTAATTATTGTGATTCATATATTTTTTCACCATCCACACTTTTACTTACATTTTTAATATTTCTTTCTATTTTAATATTTGAAGGGATAAAATATAGGAATCAAAATAATATTTGTTAAACATTTCTACCACAAATATTACAAAATCTTTTTTTTGACATTTTTTGTTATTTCTCTTTTTAACATTTGAACAATCGGAAAAAAATATACCAATCAAAAGATGTTTTTCTTATTTTATTAGATATGAAAAGCATTTGCTAACCCTAACCCACAATAAAATGAATATTTCTTTATCACTTAAAAAACAGCATTTGAAGACTCATGTTAAATACACCAATCAAAAGATTTTTCCCTCACCTTAATAGACATGAAAAAAGAAAAACGCTGCATTCACTCTATGCTTACATTATTTTATTTTTTTTCTGATTTTTTGTACGCTTTATAATAATAATAATAATTGTTGTTGTTGTTATTATTATTGTTATTATTATTATTGTTGTTGTTGCTGTTGACGTTGTTGTTGCTATTTAAAGACTCTTGATAAAATATAAGAATCAAAGGCTTCATTTTTCAGCCTGTTAGGCCAAAAAATAGAATTAAGTGTGACCTTGAGGGTTCATAAAGTTGTTGCATAAGTAATTCTAATTTTTATGAGTTATTATAAATTTGGTAACACGTATATATAGCCTTTTTATTCAGTAATTTATTTATAAATCAAATACTAAATTGCGCACATATGTAATACAATTATTATAAATTACCAACTTGCAACATGAATTTATACCTAGTTAATTCAATTTTTAGTATTTTCTGTGTTGCCTTTGTAGTGTGCATTTTTTTTATTATATGCTTTAAAATTGTCCTGCAACCTGCTTGAAGTTTTCCGCTCGACCGCTGGATGTCAGTGTGTGTGCACGTTCTCCTAAATAACAACAACAAACCACCTGCCCTTTCTATTTATAGATGATAATAATGAAAGACAAACAAATCTTAATTGTACTGAGCTCCACAATGCGCACTCGTCTATTAAATAACGCTGCGATGTCAGACCCTCGTCTTCATGGTGAGTATAAACAGCTGTGTGTGTGTGTGTGTGTGTGTGTGTGTGTGTGTGTGTGTGTGTTTCGGTAGGTAGGAAGTAGAGAGAGAAAGAGAGAACGACAGGGAGGACAAGACGGAGCATGCAGGAGTTGAATTGCAAGTTTGTGGCTTGTTTACTTTGTCACTTTTCGTTTCTTCAACTATGACTCCCAGACTGAACAAGAGGATATTTTGCGGCTGATTTCTTATAAATTATCAGCTATCGAACAAGATAAATCCATCAAACCAGGTCCAGAATGAGCGCGTCTGCAGGTACGGGGGTGTTCGTGCTCTCCCTCATGTCCATCCCCATCTGCTATTTATTCAACTCCCTCGTTTACAACAACAAGTGAGTGACATTATTCTGGTTGTTTAATCTCTATGGAAAACTGTTGCCACCAGTGGCGGACCTTCATTAAAAAAAAAAAAAAAAAAAATTTAAAAAAATGTCAGATTTCTTGAAAGATATTCATTCATTTAGCCTTTGTTTAAAGCTCAAGGAATCATTTATATACATTTTTACATTTAGTGCTGAAGCTTTCTTCTTTGCTGGCTGCACAACTGTCCTCATCTTGGCCATCTCAGCACGTTTTATGCTCAAGAAGAAGACTCCAGGAGATCCTCTTTTCTATGGTAATGAATTCTCAGTGTCAATCAGACATCAAATCATGAGCTAGGAATGGATTTATTCATAATTTTGGAGTCTTGTGCATGTGTGTGTGATGTTTTATTCATAAAATCTTGTAGAAATGTAAAAGGTGATACACACCATATTCTGTTTGCATTGTGTCCATCTTGATTAGAAACTAATTCCAGGCCTGTCAATCTAAAGTATTTTCTTTTTCTTTTATATATCTGTGCAGTGTACGCAGTGTATGCATTCCTCAGTGTGGTGAATCTGATCATTGGCCTGGAGCAAGACAACATCATTGATGGATTTGTGACGTTTTACCTCAAAGAGGCAAGTGCTGTGTCCAGTTTGTGAATGGCTTGTATGTTTTCTTCACACCTTTTTTTTTAAATGTTTTTATTTTTTTTACAATTTTATATCTTACTGATAAATCCACCGTGTGTTTCAGGCAGATCCACATATTAACACAGCACATGGGCACATGATCTCCTACTGGGACGGCTGTGTTCACTATCTCATGTATCTGCTCATGATAGCTGCGATCACTTGGGGGTAAGAGCTGAGTTGTTCATGGAGATATTTACAACATCTGTCCTTTTATACAACTTTATTTGATCCTAATATTCACAGCAAGTGTGAAAAAAGTGGTGTTTTTATCTATTAAAGTTCAGGTTCAGAGAATTGCTCATCTGTCTATCTATTGAGTCTTTGTATGTATTATGTGTTCATCTGGCTTTGACAATGGCAGTGTTACGTGATTTGCACAGGGACAGTTACCGAGCAATTGGACTCTACTGGGTGGGATCCTTTCTCATGCGTGCCATAGTCTACATTCTTGGGAATGCTGTGGGTAAGTACACTAAAAATAATGGGATGCTTTTAGATGGCTTGTGTAGGGGAGCCCACGTCACCCTTCAGCACTTCCCTTGACAGTACAACAATGATCCAAGCTTTTTTTTTGGTTTGTTTACTAGTATTGAAAACATTAGAAATACAGCTAGCTTTAACATTTTGTCATGTGTAGTTTCCCACAGTGACATGTTATCTTGTTTTGACTTTTTTTCCAGGAAAATATGGGACCCAAGTCAGTCCTCTCTTCATCCTCCACATGCTGTATATCGTGGTGTCCGTGTGGGTGTGCTTCCGCGTCTTCAGTCAGCCTTCTACACGGGATGTTCAGACAACAGTAAGAGTCCTCAGTGTCAAAACAGATCACTGAAAATACCTGCACGTAGCTTTAAATGCTTCCTTTAATAAATAATCGGAGCCTTAGTCCAGCCCCATCACTGATTCTTCATCAGGTGTCTCTGAGAGGATGTCTGCTAAATATTTATCAGATGTACCAACAGTACAAGCAGGGGCAGAGCTAAGGGGTGGACCAGGGTGACAGCAGCCACCTCAGGCCAGAGTCCAGCCAACCCACATGAGCAGTGAAGCCTGTTAGAGGGCCACACATATGCCGGTAGAGTTGGATTCATATCATAACCCTAATGTGCTTTAAATTGTAATATCAACCATCAAAAAAGCATAACATTGAACAGCTGTTCCAGATCTTTAAAAAAAAATACATTGATAGTTACATTAAAAAAAAGCTTGTTATATATCAGACCTAATGGCTGGGTAAGGGAATGACAAAGTAAATGAAAAAAAAAAAAAGGCCTATGGTGATTTCTCATGCTGACAAAAAAAAAATGTTTCTGTGCCACCTCATTTTAATATAATTAAACTGTAATTGTAATGTTCTCAGTCTGGCCACCATTATAACAACTGTTTGGCTCCATCAGTGATTATAGGAAATTCAAGGGAATATTTAACAAGCATAACAACATATGTATGTATGCAGTTGTACATTTTTAACAGCATATAAACTATACATAATTTTTCTAGGTTTATCTATTATCGGGTTCACACAATTTGCAAACAGTGAGCCTTTCTTTGTAAAATATGCGATAACTATGTTTTGCTGAGCAGCAAAGGTACAATGCTTTTAAATTATGTCAGTACATCCACAACTACTTCAGCATATAGTTAGTTATAAAAATGATCTGATTTTAATCATGTGTAAACAGTATATCAAGCAAATATTGTTTTTGTGTCAGATTTTCTTCTGCAATATGCAGATCATTTTTTAGTGAATAGAAAATTGCCTTGCTGTGTAAAATAACATATCTGAGTGAATATAGTTGTGCTTATACTGTATACACCTTGTTGATGCACACAGGTCATATTACAAATACACTAATACATAAGATACATAGTTTGCAACTCAACATGTTATTGTTGCTGCCAGAGCATCCAGGTGACTCCAAAGAGAAGTTTGCTCCAAAGACCTCTGGACTTAATCTTCACCATCTACCTCATCCCAGCGCTGGCTTTCTGCATCTTTAGAGGCCTGGTAAGAAACCATTAAGTCCAATCAACTGCTCAGTGTGCACACAGTGGTAGAATTTTGTGGAGAGTGCCTCTCTATTTTAAACTGTTTGTGTTTGAGGTTGTTCTGGACTGTTCCAGCAAATGGTGTCAAGACTACACACAGCAGTATGAGCCTTACCTGAAAGACCCGTCAGCGTATCCTAGAGTGCAGGTAATGCAGTGATGCTAAACATGCAATAACTTTAGTCTAATGCTGTTATAAGTCGGATCTCTGAAGAGGTGTCCATGTGTGTCAGATGCTGGTGAGCATGCTGTATTCAGGCCCGTACTACGTCATTGCTCTCTATGGGCTGCTGGTTCCAGGATGTGAGTGGATGCCAGACCTCACTCTTGTTCACTCTGGAGCATTGGCACAGGTATGTACTGCTGCTCATTCCTACCTCTCAGCATGTGAGCAGCGGCAATTAGGCCTTTGTGTTTGAAAACCCTGCCCTCCTGCAAAGAAAAAATAAATGTAAAAAAAAAAAAAACATCAATAAGGGTGTCACATATGTGAGGAAACTTTAAATCATACAAACCTTGGAACATTATACTAATTTAGACGTGCAACATTTCTCTTCAAAATTGTTTTTCTTGTAGAAAACTTCTGTGAATATCTAATTTTTCCTCTAGTTTTAGCATTCCAGCATGGCTGTATTATGTTACTCTTTTCTGCTATTTTGTTTGCAACTCGCGTTATATGAAATTAGTTTTCGCTTTCATTTACTTATTCTTTTGCATTTAATGTCTGTTTTGTGTGATTACATTGGCGAAACACTTTTACCTATTAGAACAAGAGGTCAAAAAAACCTGTTTAGATTTTATAAAGTTGGAACTTTCAGAAATATAGATTGTCCTACAATGCATCTGTGTCAATTTTGGCATTTTGGCATCTTCCCATTTAAACTAGCAAACCCAACCTACAAGGTGGCCTAATTTTTTAAACCAGCCATTAGTATCTAACTCTCCTAATGTATATGTTAATTGGCAGGTTCAGTTATCTAGACCTTGTTGTGATTTTCGTAACTTACAGTCACAATGACATTCTGTGCAAAATCTTTCCCACATGATGTTATCGCTCCAGGTGGATTAGGAAATGTTAGACTGAAAGTGGGCATCTGGCTCAATCAGGGCCGCTCCCCAGCTTTCTCCTTCACAAATTGGTCTATGTTCAGTTTATTATTAAGTGCTGTCAAACACCAGCGGCTCTGCATCAGTCCGGTGAACAGTACATCTATTTAAGTCTAAAGGTGGAAACTCTGGAGAGTGGTGGGAGCAGCTAGTGCGCCCGTCACATCTCCACCGAACAAAGAAGCTATTGTGTTTGAGCTGCAAGCTGGCACGTCACTCATCAGCGGGATAAGGGCAGAAGCTGACTTCAGACCGAGAGGAATGGTGGTATTGGTGGTATTCACTTAAATGTCAGCTGTTCTGCCAGGCTATAAATAGGAGGGCTGATGTTCCGGCAGCCTTGGTTGCTATGAAACATGTTGTGTTTCTTTTTTCAGCAACTTTCTCTGAAAAGGTAATTGGCAAGAGTCTATTAGACTGAAAATTATTTGAGGATGAGTGGCAATGCCGGAAATTGCCCAGGTTTTGTTGATAATCAGTCCATTAAAAACAATTCAATCGCAAACAGCTGTTATCTAAACTTAATTAGTTGGCTCCCTGTAATTATTCTTTTGTATGAACTGATACATGTAGACCAGATTTAATTGTACATTCAGATGTTTAACACAACTAAAAAATCTATTAGATCTGTTGTGCATAATAAAAGAGAGGTTTGCTGTGTGTGTTTTTTTTTTTTTTTAGATATTCGCAAGACAGCATCATCATGCAGTTGTTACATCAGGAGCACAAAATAGTGAAAGATATGTAAAATCATTCAGAGCAAGTGATGTAACAATGTTCCTGCTAATGTGAATACTAACTGCAAAGCTTTTCATCATCATTGTCATTTTTCCTTTTTTGTCCCTCTTTGTGTCCCTTCACAGGCCCAGTTCTCTCATATCGGTGCATCTCTTCACACACGGACGCCGTTCTCGTACAGAGTTCCTGCTGACAGCCAGGCTATCTTCTTGCTGGTCAATGTGCTGTACACTCTGGTGCCTCAGGCTCTGTGCTACCAATGCTGCACCAGGCCTGCCTTCTTCCTCAGGCGAACAGCAGAGAAGAAAAATGAATAACACAGAGTGTCAGGGAGAGAAAAAGAATGCCACAGACGTTGAGGATGCCAACATAAAAGGCTGAACTACTTGCAAACTTCTGCTCTGTGTTTGCAGCTATTTGCAGCTGCTATTTTTGGAGATGAAGCTGCCACCTATAACCTTAATGAGAGCTAAGTGGAGGTGTTGGAAACACGGCAAAGCAAGCAGAGCGTGTGTCATATGGCATTTATGGTCTGTTGCTTCTTTTGAAAATGTGAACATAAATTTATAAAATAAACAAAGCGTATTTGTGTGAGTGTAAAGCAACAGCAAGCACAGGAAAGCACAGTGTTTATAACAGTGCTGCAGACTTGTGTATGGACTTCAAACTACTTGACAGTACTTGTTCTTATATTTTTGCTAAGCTTTTTGGTTATAAAAATGGCTTTATTGTTGACACAGGTTTCTATGTGGTGCCTTTTTGACAATGGGTTGGCAAATAAAGAAATAATCTTGTGGCTGTGTATGTCGGCAATATTTTTATTTACACAATAACTGGCATTCAACCATTTAATGGCCTTTAGTACACAAAAATGTTGTGTAATAGTTATATTCAGAATAAAATCTGAATAAAAAATTTAAAGGTACTATCCATCCATCCATTATCTATACACCGCTTAACCCTCACTAGGGTCGTGAGGGGGCTGGAGTCTATCCCAGCTGACTCAGGGTGAAGGCAGGGGACACCCTGGACAGGTCACCAGTCTATCACAGGACTACACTTAGAGACAGACAACCAAGCACACTCACATTCACACCTACAGACTATTTAGAATCACCAATTAACCTCAACATGTTTTTTGGACTGTGTGGGAGGACATGCAAACTCCACGAAGAAAGATCCCGGTGCCCCCACCGGGACGCGAACCGGCGACCTTGTTGCTGCGAGACAACAGTGCTACCAACTGCGCCTTAAAGGTACTAGCCACACTGAAAAAAGTTGTATTTTTGTAAATCTCAAACGAATTTTATTTCACTGAGTCTAATAATGTTACCTGTCCAGGGTGTCCCCTGCCTTCGCCCTAAGTCAGCTGGGATAGACTCCAGCCCCCCGCGACCCTCGTGAGGATTAAGCGGTGTATAGATAATGGATGGATGGATAATAATGTTAGCTCAAAATATCAGTAAAAATAAGAAATAAAAAAATTTTAAAAATCAATTGTGCAGCCCTAACAGAAAACAAAACAGAAATAACACATTTTTGGTAATCTATTTTTTATATATATATATATATGTATCAGAAATAAGTTTTTCTGCTCGTTCACAGTGGATTTTAAGGGAGAAATTGCTTTTGTTGTATCTACACTGCATTTATAATAAACTTGCAGCTTGTATATTTAATGCATCCTATAAAAACATTTTTTTTTTGAATATTTACTATGCTTATAGTTTTAGTAAATTGATGACAGAAGAAGATTTCATAAATTTTGTCGGTGTACACTATAGTTTTTTTTATCAGTAAAAATTTAGACACTAATGTGGACATGTATATTTGATGTTCAGTTGCAAAAACATATGTAAATAAAACAAATGGTTTAAAAATTAAAAGAAAATCGACTTTAGAAAGAACTACCTCAGTTTGTCCTCGTAGTACTGGTTTCTGAAAAGCTAAAAGGCGGGAAAAAATGTGCAAGATTAATTTTATTTGGCGATTTGAACCGGAAGTAGTTCACGCAACCTCTTCCGCTTCGTGAGCAAAACAATTCCGCGTGAGGCTAGTTGACATTTACAACAAACAGGAAAGATTTTGTTGTGTTTTTATTCTGGCGAACCATATTCACCTCGGAAACAGCTCTTCCAGTCAGACATCATTTCATGCAATGTTTTAACTAAACGGTGACGAGAAGAAATACCTGGAGCTATAATACAGTGGCGTGCTAACGTTAGCTGATTAACTAGCTAGCCACGGTAATGGCAGCACCAACTCCTTCGCCGATTTCTGCTCCCATATTAAGGTTTGTGTCTTTCTTTAGATGTTATTTCTGCCACTTCGAAATAATAATTTTAAGGGAGATTGGCCATATTAGAACCGTCACTGCAGTGTTTTAATATCAATGCAGTAAGCTTACAAATTGCCAAACGTTTCAAACACTACATTTTTATACTTAGCTAGCTACAGTTACTGTTTACATTTCTGGTTATTTTCAGACCATTTCGCCTTTAATGTATATCTTGCATTATTTCAGGTGCTATGCCAAATAGGCTGTCCGTGGGAGCAATTATTCTCCTGTGCTGTAAAGGCCCAGTTCCACTCATACAATACAGTTTTCCACCTGCCAAAAAGAGACTGCAGCCTTTATATTGTGAATGCATCAAAATGACCTAACTTCATTCCTAAGGGTTTGTATAGTTTGCAGGTTATATGCAGGCTTGATTACACTGCAAATTGCAAACATTTTTTTGGTATACAAGCAACGTTAAAGTTTCACTGAGAAACACGTTTGCTATGACCACAGATGTAAAGCTTTATGTGTTTACACGTTATGACTGTTTGATTCAGATAAAAACCACTGTAGGTGTACAAAATCAGGGCAATGCTGCCTCAACATGATATGCACAACCTGTTTCTAGCAAATAATCACTCCTCAGCTCATCACTTGAGCAGCCAAGTTGAATGCATATATTTTGGCTTGCCGTTAGTAGGAACAGCACAGGTGAAAGTAAAAACATTATTGATGGTTCCACTGCTGCAATGATTGCAATTAGATGTGAGTGATCCTGGAAGAAACCCATATTGTGATGTTTTGTTTTTCCTGAATCTTGCATTATGAAAAAATACAGGAATTTCCACCAGATAAGTTGAATAAGAATTTGTTTTGACTTTGTAGTGCTCCTTTAGATAGTCAAAGAAATTAGTTGTGTTGCCTAAATGGAGTGGCAATAATTGCAAGACACTGCCTGTAGATCACCTGGTTTTGGCCAACACCATCCTTTCTGTAGCAATAACTGACATTGTGTTTCTTTTTGAAACTAAGTTCTGCTTTTTAGTATATCTTTCCTGTTTCTTGCTCAGTTTATATTACACACGTGGGGCCTGCATGTCAACAAATTCTGTCTTGTGAATAAAATAAAATTTAAAAAATGGTATATAAATTAAGGTAAATTATGTTATATCAGCGAGAGTCTAGTTAGTTAGTAATAGAAAATGAGAGCAGTGCCAGATTTTTTTTTCCTGTATTATGCAACCAACTAAAGATATAGCGTGCCTCATCTCACATTACATTCAACATTGCAATGTCAATGCTTATACAATATATTGTGCAGCACTACTTACAATGCACCAAATAATAATCATATTACACTTTTACAGGTCTGAATGTCTGCTATAAAAACACATGTATTCTTCTTTTACTACAAAATTTCCATCATGCTGAGGTGTGCCTCTACTGTAATGGGGCTTAGCTGTTGCATTTTTACTGTCATGTTGTGATTATTGTCTCAAATCTTTTTTTCACTTCAGTAAGAAGCAACACAGGTCAGCTCAGAGGAAAGAGAGAAGGAAACAGAAACGTAAAGCTCTTGCCCAAGCCAGAGAATGTGGTACGGAGAAAGCTGTGTTGTTGCCGTTCTTGTCAAATACGATAACTTGTTATATCTACAAATTCACCACGACATTTACTCTGACATAGATTTACATAATGGAGAACGCTATGCTCCTGAAGAAAACGAGGATATAAATGAAGGAGATGGTGAGGACGATGATGCTGCTGAGGGGGACAGGTAGGTCAATACTAACGTCACTGTTGCCCCGCAGCTGCACATTCAGTGATGGACAGCACAAAAACCTCGACTACACAGCTCTTGATTGTGTTTGATTTGTTTTGTCAGACTGCGGCTCCATGAAGAGTGGCTGGAAAGAGAGAGACTTGCCCAGGAGGAATTCAGGCTGCAGTCAGAGAGGGAAGAAGCTGCAAGGAAAAGAAAAGAGGAGGAGGAGGTAATTCATGTCTGTATTTATCCTAGGCAGGTTGCACAATTTAAGAAACTTGACAATTTCTAGAAACATAGTCACAGCTTGACAACAACAAGAGTTAGCAGATGTTTATGTGTTCTCACTGAAAATGTACTGAAGGATTAACGTATTGAGGTATTTAATGCTCATATGGGATGTCTGATTAAAACACTCAAACATGGCTTGGTTTAATAATGCTTTACAGAGTACTTCAATGATCATTCTAATAATCACATGACATGACCAAAACCAACAATAGTCTGATTAGAGTTGAACAATTAATTGATCTAAAATCAAAATTGTAATAGGAAGCTGTGCAAGTAGTAAATCTGAAGTGCTGTGTTTGATATAGGGTGTAAGAAGTGTGGCTATTAAATAATGGGACTAATGATGTAATTCAATTTTCTTTCATCTAAGCAGATTAAAAATTTCAGGGTTTGTTTATGCCAGACCATTAATCAAGTGATAATATGTGGTTCAGGCATGCAAGCTGTGGTTTGACTGACATAAGCCCAGTGTTTTTATTTAATAGTACCCCTAGTAACTTTTGCAGTGAGTCTGTCCCAGAAGTTAAACTGTCTTGTCAGTGGATTTACAAATTCACACAGTGAGTATTGGACTGAGGTAGACCTTAAAATAATTATATTGCAAATTTATCACAAATTTATTTGTCAGAAAAATTGCAATTCAGTATTTTTTCTAAGTCGTGCCGCCTTTGAACTGGTCCTTTTCAGAAGTATTTTCTATGTGGCAAAACCCTGATATTGCTTACATCTTTATGCTATAGACCTCCTTTATTATAGTACACTATTTATTTGTTATGAGAAACTTAAGCACTGCAGTTTATTTAGACTCAGGCCCACATACACCATCCTGCAGCTGTAAATATGGACTAGAGCACCCATTGTGGGTTAATCTGCAGCACAAAATACTCCCTGACAAATGCATTGTTTCCTGTTTGTTTTCTGAGAACTGCTGTGCAGAATACTCAGCACTTATAAAAAGAACAAAGAATTTAAACTAGACATTGTGAGCCATTTTAATAGATTGACTTTGATTTGGGAGACAAATCCTCATCGTTAGTCAAACAAATAAAGTTCAAGTGCAACAGCTGTTTTAGTTTTAATTAAGAGAGATAACTCTGTGATAAAACTCTTACAAAAATGATAGTTTTGGCAGCTGCCAGTGACAATTTACTCGGTTCTCAGGAGAATAACTTCAACCTGACACACAGGATCACTGCTGTCAGTTGGGACTGGTTGCTATGGTGATTAATTGGCAAAATTATGAGGGCACCTGAGCCTGTTCAACAAGTGATTAGCAACAGAATGTCATTAACTGTCATGATGTAATTTTGTGCCCACAGCGGATGATAAAGGAGGAATGGGAGGCCCAGCAGAGGAAAGAACAAGAAGACAAAGAGCAAAAGCAGCAGGAGAAGCGAGACAGAGAGGTGAAACGAGCTCCAGGAGGATAGAAACAAAAAGAAATATATCCTCTTCCACCTAATCATGAGCATACCGTCCATCCACAAATCAAGATTAAGAGAATCAGACAGTTAAACCGCCTCACCAACTGAATGTTTCTTTTGTAAAATGTGTTTTTGCTTCATACATGGTCCTTTTTAAACTTTTCCTTGACTGAGTGGCACAAGCAACCATCCTACTCCTTAACTAAGATACACTCAAAGAGAAAAACCCCTTCAGCTCTCACAACAAGGATGTATCTTTTACTTTGTGTGGCAACTATCTCTGAAATTGCTCCAGGAATCTTGGAAATGATCCCTAATAAATGCCGTTATCTTTTTTTTGTGCCTATCAGTCCCTGTGAATGTGGTCTTAACCCACAGTAACAGATATGCTGCAGTATGCTGACGTCTACACATTTTCACCAGCTGTGTTTTTACACCATTTGTAGGAGGCTGTTCAGAAAATGTTGGATGAAGCTGAAAACCAGGTATTAATACACGCACGAATGAATGCCATTAAACAGAAAAATAGATGAGGAAACATTTTTTTGACTGACATCTATGTAGTTAGAAATCAGAAGGGTTTTTGTTTATGTAATTCTTTTTTTAAAAATTGCAGCAAAAAGAAAATATTTAATAAATTGCTAGAACTATTGAGTATTCTACTCCTAATAGGATGGAACACTGGACTGATTATTTGGTACTAGTTGTACATTGGCCTATATGTCTGCTGATAAGCAACAAAAAATGTGTATTTTTCTCATTAATCAGAAATGCAAAATGTAAGTAATGCTGTAATTTCAGATATTGTTTCTGTTGCATTGTTTATGAATCAGAGAGTCTTGAGAATATTATTTTTGTTAAATCTGTCACATATCTGTACAGGTTTTGGCCTAATTTTTGCATGCCCGTGCATTGGTCATATATAACCTGTGAGTTTTACCAGGTTAGCTGACTCTTCTTAAGAGTAGTTTATTGTGACCACTGCATCAGAATATTGCCATGTTGGAATCATTAAAAATACAAGTAAAAAAAAAACTTGTAGAGTCAACAAGTTTAGGACTGTAGGTCTAAGACAAGTCCTTGGATCTGTTAAAAGTCTAAAAACTAAGGTACATGAATTTACACGTCACTCAAGTTTACAGTCACATTATGCAGTACATACACTTTTCTGTTCATGTTCTCATTTCCAGCTCGAAAACGGAGGACCGTGGATGAATCCCGAAGCTCCTGTGACGGTGAACTCTGAGAACTATGGAACAGAGCGTGACGTAGCTAACTGCCCGTTCTTTCTTAAAACCGGAGCATGTCGATTTGGAGACAGGTAATGTTTGTTTATCCTCATGTGACTTGCTGTGCTAAATTCATAAACCTACTATTTGAACAGTGACGTGTACAGTTATGTTAAAGTGTTTTTTGTATATTCTCCTTTCTTTCGTGTTTGTCCAGATGTTCTCGGAAGCACGTTTATCCCACAGCAAGTTCGACTCTGATGGTCGTCGGTATGTTCAGAACGTTTGGCATGGAGGAGTCACGTCGTGACGATTACGACATGGACGCTTGTTTGGAGCACAGCGAGGAGGATTTGCAGGAGTCTTTCCTCGAGTTCTACCACGATGTTCTGCCAGAGTTCAGAAGTATCGGCAAGGTGGTGCAGTTTAAGGTGAGATGAGGTCAGGTAGCTTTCTCAAGTAATTTGATTGCTCTCTGTCATCTTGACTTCATGTTTATGAGAAGAACAGTGTCTTTAGTCAAAACAGGAGACTGGAAAAACAGACTTTGAGAAAGGCATTCTGTTGCAGAATAAGGTAAAATGAAAAAGGATCATTGCACAAAGAAGTGTGTCTTTTTGTTCAAAATAATACAATTCAAAGTTTTACTAAACTGAAACTGGTACAAAGCCGACAGTGGACCATTTGACTGTTTGTAGGAATCATACAAAATGGAAATGAAATGGAAAACAATACTTTTATCAGACATCCTTTGGTCGAATCTTGTGTCATTTAAAATGAGTAAGACATGATTTCAGAATAAAGTCAGAGTAGGACAGAAATCTGACTGCTGTCTCATTGCAGAGTTACAACAGTTGTCCACAGTCACCAGTTTATTAGTAAAAATATAAATTCCTCATCTAGTTTCTTCTGAATCTCATTTCTCTCTGTAATCTAATGTGTAGTTGGTATATATGTTAAATAAGCTGTACTTGCTGTTTACATCTTCCAGACTTTGCACCGCTCATTTAAAATTCAGTGAAGTCACAGTGTAATAAGATGTTTTTCTTTTCTTCTGCAAAGTAAAATCAAATGATTGTGAACAATCAACATGAGTGCACCACAAAACCACCTCAATAAGTATAAAATATGTTGGATGAGTCACTCGATCTTTTACTTATGTTCTAAAGAACCGAAGATGTTCATTTCTCTGAATTATTCAAAACGGCTACTATTTAAAAACAGCCACTAACTGCACTGTTCAGAATAAAGTTTACTTCATAGATGATGGAATTGTCACATAAAGTACATATTTGGTTTATGTGATACGTTTCCTCTTTTAGGTCAGCTGCAATTATGAGCCACACCTGAGAGGAAATGTTTACATTCAGTTTGACACGTAAGTCATCACACAGACCCACTGTGACTTTATTCAAATAAATAAACTGTTGTGGATAAATCTCTTTGTTGTTTGTCTTCCTGTCTTTCTGTTCCAGAGAGGAGCAGTGCAAAGAGGCCTTCATCAAGTTCAATGGGAGGTGGTATGCAGGCCGGCAGCTTCACTGTGAGTTATGTCCTGTGACACGGTGGAAGAATGCAATATGTGGTGAGTTTTTTCTTTTTTTTTTTTTTTCATGCTGAGGAAATATATATAGATGTAATACAGAAATTGCAAGTTTCACAGTTGGGCATTTACTGTCTTACTTCTGTTTTCCCAGGATTGTTTGACAGACAGAAGTGCCCTAAAGGGAAGCACTGTAACTTCCTGCATGTGTTTCGAAACCCTGGCAATGAATTCTGGGAGGCCGACAGGGACCTGCACTTGTCACCGAACCACAGTGTCAGAGGGAGCCGCAGAGATGGGTGGCAGTCAGAGCGATACAGCGATCGATCGTGGAGGCAACGTCGCTACAGCAGAAGCCCAGTAAGATCAGAGAGATCTCACAGCAGACGAGAGGACGAGCGGCGGAGGAGCAGGAGCAGAGAGAGGAGAGACGACAGATGGTCGTCCAGATCCAGACACAGTGACAGGAGGACAAATCTGAGCAACAGTAGAGACAGGTCTAGGAGCAGGAGTAGAGACAGAGAGCGAGACAGGCTGAGAAACAGGAGTAGAGATAAAGACAGGGAGCATAAGCACAGGACTAGAAGTGAAGACAGAGACAGTAGAGACAAAGATGAAGACACCCGCAGAGATGCAAGAGAGAAGTCAAGAAGCACAAGCAGAGAGAGGGAAAGAAGGAAGGAAAGTAGAGAAACAAGTCCAAAGAAACCAGGTAAAAGCAAGAAAACGACCAGTGACGATTCCAACACACAGCGCCGCCACAAACGCTCCAAAAAGAGCAAGAAGAAGAGCAAGAAGAAGCATAAAAAGAAAAGCCATTTGCCTGAAGAGACAACTTCATCTGGGGAGTCGGACAAAGAGAAAGAATCGGAGGAAGAGACGGCAGATAACCATTCTGCAACAAGTCCCAGTGGAGAGATAAATGAAACAGAACTATCTCAGAAAAACACTAAGTTAGACGAGAATGTTGACAATCAAAATAACTCAAGTTCAGAAGTTAAAAGTGAACAATCCAACGATGAAATCTCAAACGAGCTGACTGGAAATGGTGACATCAGTTGTTCTTAGTGGATCCTACATTTAAAAATCTGTACATCTGGTTGTACTTTTTTCTTATAAATATATGAATCTATTGGAAGGATGAGATAATTATTTTTTTATTTAGCAGCAAACATCATCACAGAGTTGGTAGTTTTCACATCTTTGAATGAGATGCACTGAATTGTGGGGTGTTCAGATCCCTATATAGTGGATCGTTTTAAACAAGGGAGCAATTTTATACGCGTTAGCAGCTATCACCACATATGTGAATATTCTGTTTTGTCAAAATGGTGAAGGTTGCACTAATTGACGTTCGATCCCTGGAGCTGTTACGTGGTTATCACTGAGTAAAAACAACTTAAAACATCGACACAAGCATGTTTTCTTTTCAATACATTTATTGTTAATACCTTTCATATATAAAGAAAATGTGTTGGTAAATGTGCTGGCAGTGTTTAATACAAAAAGTAATGTCTCTTGCACAAATCAAACATGAACCTGTTTAATAATTATCGATGTACAACAAAAAGTCCTGTGATCTTGAGAATGCAGATAGAAAAACTGACTGCCATACAGTTCGGGATGAGCATCTATTCGTAGGTTGTTTGCTTGTTTTCCTGCATCTTGCTGGCAATTGATCAAGCTGACAGATGAATATTAATGATGTACCCTGATATGTGCAGTTCATCTTCTTACGCTCCTAATCCATAAAGAAACCCATGATAGACCTGTCTTTAAGTGGATTGGAATAATTGCGTTAATACTGGTATACTGTAGCCAAATAACTCCTACATACATTTTATTTTGTTCAACAACCTGCTGTTAAAATCCCTTTGCTGCCATGTTAGCCTTCTATAGACACCATTGAGAAGGTAAAACACAGTGTTCTTTGGTCATATGTTAGTCTTTAAGAGTAAGCCAAAGTTTTATATATACACATAAAATAGTTTTTTAATTATTTTTTTTTATTTGGGTCACTATCCTATCCTGACTAAGGACTAGGGGAGGGACTGACCTAAGATTTATCTCCAGAGGTCAAACTTTAATGTTAAATGTTTTTGTGAGGAAAATAAATCATCTATCAAAAGAAAAGGAAAAATTAAGACAAACTGACAGTTTAGAAAACATGACGCCAATTACACAGAAACCACCAATGTTTCGCAAAGGTAAACAATCAGTTTAAACAGCTGGTTCAATTCTGGAGAGGAATCACCAAAACACAAACTTGTACAAACCTATTTAACGTACACACTGATGATGATTATGAGTTAATTGTTACGTATTACTGAACTGGTGGGTTGAATTTACCCATATACAAGTGATTGTAGCAGCATCAGTGATCCCCACTCATGTATTATCATTACATTTAAATCATGGATCTGAAAAAACAAGGTCGTTTAGCAACACTTAATGCTGTTCTGAAGGTACAGTCCTCAAAGACCAAAACAATCTGGATACACATTAAAAAAAAGGATTTAACCTGTTTCCCTTGGTAGGATTTTTCCAATTCAAACAAAATGTCTTTACTCAATTTGTACATAAGCCCAACCTAAACTCTGATTATTAGTAACACTGTTACATAGTTAATTCTTTCTAGCATGTAGTTCCAAATCATGCAATAATATTCTGCTGTTGCAAAAAGCACAAGGACCTGGATTTAAAAAAAAACATTTTGTTGCAGACAATATTTTTTTAATCTATATTGGTTGAAGAGTGTGAGAATTCTGAAAATACCTTTAGAGGAGCTGTAAGGTATGTCAACTGACCGTCTGGATTTTTTTTCAAAGATCGATGAGTATTCGTTTATCTATAATTGGATTTGGATTCTTAGCCATGTGATGGTAACACATGAGAAGCACCAACTGTGGCTACAGTAGCACCTTAAAAAAGTACTTCAGGCCAAACAGCACAAACAACTGCTATCGGTGGGGAACGATGATCCCAATATGATGCTGGAGTTTTTAATGTCGGTGCTACATTGTTCTCTGTGGAGTTTCTAAGAAGTTCGGGGAGTGACGTACGGTAAATACTGCAGGACACAGCGAAGGAACTTGTACATAGGAGACACATTAAAACCACAGTTGGCACCACATTGAAAGGACATTACAGGATACAATACAGAATAATAAAGTACACAGATGGTGATTATATACATACAACACTGACACAGTGAACAGAAGACAGGATAGAGACATGGAGGTTGCCAGTTCTGCATCTGGGAGAAAGAATGAGGCAGCAGCACGATGATTTATGTCAGCCCAATTTCCTCTAAAACACTCCGTGGTGCCTCGGCCTCCTGCAGAGGAATAAAAGAAAGATAAACGTTCCTTGTCATCACACTGTCAGTTTGTTCATCTGTAGCGCAAAGTACCTCTTCAAATTATAATTAATAGCACACGAGTCAAATGCAAGTTGCTCGATGTGCGATGGGAATAGGAGGCCTTTACAGTCAGCACAGTCAGCCATGCTGTTGCAACAATAGTACTGCGTGCTTTGCTAAAAATAAATCAATGAGCACTGAATCTGTCGACTGCAAATGACGACACCTAGACAGCAATGCAAACACGCAGCACAGCGCTTGCTTTGGTGCACTGGCACAAGAAAGAAAGAGAGGTATTAATCAAGGGCCGCAGGCCCAAAATAAACAGGTGACGGCAGGTGCAGATGGTTGCAAGGTAGAAAAAGCAATGCATCAACATCTTACATCTACCCTTCTGTCTGACTCAACAATACATTCCTGAGCAAAGTATATGCTACAGCTGCACCAAGTTAAAGCTGCAATGACAAGTCAATTGACAGAAAGTAAATCTGCAACAATTTTGGCAATCTTTGAATCATTTACATGATTTCAACCAAATATGTAAAAGCGTACAGTTAACTTCTTTGGAGTTTAGACCATTGGTTGAGCAAAGCTAAATCAGAGAAATATTGGTAGTCCAAGAAGAACTGAGCTCACCTCCTGCAGCAGGTCAGCCTGCTCGATAGCCTTCAGCACGTTCTTCTTGGATGTCTCCTGAGCCTCTCCGCCCAGCAGGAACTCATCCAGGATGAAGTAGGCCTTTTCAAAGTTGAAGATTATATCCAGCTCACACACCTGTAACAAGACAACACAGCAAAGAGCAGTAGATCAGAGTAGACACCAACCTGATAGAAAAAAAAAAAAACTTGAATTCGTAGAACAACTTCTTCACAGATTTTCCTCCACACTCTCAATCAACATGTACCACGCATGACGTTCATGGTACTCACACTGCCAAAATATTTGTCCAGCAGCTCCACATATCTATGGATGATCTCCAGGGTGATAAGCTCATTATCCTGATCCTCTACCGCACAGCAGAAATACAGGCTTGCATATCTAACACATAAAGAAAGCAGAAATGCAACAGATCGGTATTGGTGACATGAAAGGTATTAGGAAAACGGTTATCACTGTTCACAAGCAGGTCTGCAAATGTTACTGAAAATGTAAACAATCATTAAAAGACGGCATCGCCAGTCGGCTTCATCTGAACTCTAAAGATCCTGCATGCAGGTATTTGTTGTGCATACAAAAAGTAAACTTTACAACCTTAACACAGATAGGATTTACTGCAGAGACAATAAATGGGATCTCACTAAATAAACAGGTAACTCTGTGCTTATGATCACGCGAGGAAACACCTCTTCCAGTACTGCAGCACTGCGCCACCGTCTCCTGGCTATAATGCTGTTTGTTTTCATTTAGCATAGCGAAAACACAATTCTGTGTCTTTTGTATTTTAATGACTCAGCAGTCATGTCATGTCCAGGACAAATCTAGCATTCTTTACATATTTGTATCATTGTCCTTCATTGTTCAGCCTTAATTATTTGAGAGGTTGCTTTGCTGGCTTTCATATCGTACCAGAAGGTGAGATCTAAATGCCAGAAATCTCAGTGCGTGACAAAATAATCACTGAATCATAGGCTCTTATAAACAATTCCAACAACCCACCACAGATGCAGAAGTGATGTAACAAACCGAACATTAACACATCCTATTACTAATATTAAACTCTGTCATAAGACATTTTAAAACGACAGAGTACAACTTACTTAAACCATTGTGAAACATTTCCAGTTTTCTTGCAACAGTGTAACGGTCTTAAGGATGTCTTGCTGTCTTTCTCCTGGGCTTTCAACTGCATCTGATCATGCAGCCTTCATCAGAGAAACTCAATCTGCAGCATCTCTTCCACAGTTTCATACTTGGGTCACATTACAACAGCCAAACCTCATTCATGGCAACTGACCCGCCTCAAACTACTGATGAGATGCAGATTCAAGGCCTTAAAAAGCTGGTAACTGCACCTGGACTGATCATGAAACGACTAATACATCTTGAGGAATACATTTTAATATATTAAATGCTGAAATATCTCATGATATGTAAGTAGTTGGCAGCTTTTAAATGGGTGGCTTGGTTTTAATAATGATCTAAGCTATTCAGTCTGCTGCTTTAAAGAAGTCATTTTCATAACAAGTCACGACGAGTGGCACTGTAAGCAAGAAGGGTTTCAAGATTGTGTTGCAAGCCTTATTCAGATGACAGAAAAAAGGGTTTATAACCCCAAACTGCACCTCTGCTGCATGTTTGCACGTGTTTAAGGAATGCATGGGCACCTTTTATACACAATCTTGAGGTCCCTCCACTCCAAGAAGCTGCACATCTTGGGCTTCCTGGCCAGGATGGTCTGCACCAGGTCTCTGGAGATCTTCTTCCTCTCCTTGTCAGACAGAGGAACATACCATTTCTGTAACCGCAGCTTTCCCTGCCGGCTGAACAACAGCATAAACTGCATCTGAGGGAGGAAGTTAAGTCAAGTTATCCACGGCTGTAGGGACATGAACATTAACTTAAATGTTTAGGAGAAGAATCTATTTCAGCATTGACAAGAAGGTGAAGAAAAATGACAGGAGGTAAAGGGACGGAAGTGTTGGTGCTAAATAATCAGCAAGCAAATTACATTTAATGAATAATAATAACAATGAGCAGAAACGCCCAAACAGTAAATAGATGCGTTATTTACGAGGACACACGATCTGTCCATCTGACCCAGTTTGCTTTATATTTGGTGAATGGTGCATTCTGGAGGCTGTAGCACAAAGTTTCATTAGCACATGTTAGCTAACCTTGCTTAATGGCTACATATTACCATCAACAACATGATACGTGTCATTTGCGCCCCCTCCTGCGACGTTTATCCAGCTACAGCAGGTACGAGAAGTAAATACGACTCCTTACCTTCGACCAGGCCTTCAAGTTAGTCACTTGGACGTCTGGTAACTTCAGTAAATTCAAGCGGAATTCATAACCAGGGAGGGTGAACGGGTACTTCTGTGTTTCTGGATGTTAGCTTTTTATCCAGCTTGATGCTAAAGTAGCTAGCGGATGGTGGTTGCTGGTGAGACAACGATTGAGGAAAGCTGCGCTGTGATTGGCCGCAAAAGACTCAGCTGTGGGATTTGATTGGCTAAAAGATTCCGTTATTCGTTACGTACTCGCAAACAGCCAGCAATGGCTTCCTGTAGCAGAAACTTTACTACTGACTCAGTTTTACTTCTCTTTTTGTGGTATTAATAGTAAAAAATTAAAAATTAAAAAAAAAACACCACACGGTGTTTCAATCCAAATGCCCCAGCCTATTCTGGAGAAAATAATAATAATAATGAAATTGAATGTCCCTTCTGGGATAAATAAAGTATTTTTTCATTTCATTTCATTCATTTCATAATAATAGTAAACATATTCAACAAAAATCATGTAAGTGAAAAGAAGCTGACTAACTGCAGTGGTAAAATACTGCTTATTCATGCATCACTATTAGCCATGCAACACTAAGTATAAAACTAATAAGGGGTATTGTTTCTGTGTAGCATTTATTATGGATACTTTCACTACAGTTTGATGTTAATCACTATACTTTTGTTTAAATTAGAGTTTGAATTTTAGAGTATTTTAAGTTTGTGATTTTGCTACACTTACTGCAGTACTGGATTACAATATTTGTTCTGCATCACTGTACTGCCACCTCTAAGGCCAAGACAACAAATATATAAACATTCTACTGCGCAATAAGTTACGTTTTTGACTGGATTTGTGTTTTTTTTTTCCTCTTCTCAGATGTGGAAAAAGTACAGACTTTCAACACCAGGCTGTAAGTTATTGGTTTGTTAGTTTGTTTTTAAGGGCTTTTACTGATTTAGATAGACTTTTATGTCACTTTCATGAAGTATGTCGTTTTATTTTATTTCATTTTTACAAAATCATTTTTGCAGGCAGTGATAAACAATGAATAAAGTGGACTTATGCAGAAATAGAATTCTGGATGTGTTTAAATTTGTGTTTATTTTACTACTAATAGGTGTGTTATTCTTTTGCATATTATATATATTGACAGTGTGCGCTCTCATGTAAGGTTTGTCTCCCATCAACTCGTTTGTATCATGTGGCCAGCTTGACCCTGAGGCCCTGGAATGCACAGGAGGCCTCATCTTGTCTCTGGAAGTCCCACACAAGAGAGCCTGGTTAGTGGATAAAGCTCTGTTTAATAGGAAGAAACTGACTCCCAGCTACGTTCCCTCTACTCAGAGCATGTATGAGAGTCAAAACCTCCCTATAAGATTAAGTATGGTTTTCTACCTTTTGTTCTTTTCTTTGGAAGACATGCATACACATGATTTATTGCAATAAACATACATCTGAAGGATGCTTTCTCTCTGCAAATGTACTTTTTGTAGAATTTCCATAATAAGCTTTATTTGATTGATAAAAAAACATACAAGGAATACCTCAAATCAACCTCAAAACACAAGAAAATCAGTTTTCTGGGGAGAAATCTGTGCAAATTTTCACTCTTGTTTAAGTAATAAACATGGATGCTAGGTCATGAATTACTTCTGCTGTAGCAGAAACGCAGTCACACAATGGTCTGTTTAAAATGCATTTATGTGCAAAAACGTGAGGAAAAAGGGTGAGGGTTAAGGACAAAGCAGTGAATGAAGGAGAGGATGAAGGGATACAGGTTTGGTTTTGATCTAATTCTCTTTTCACCTCCACAAGACTGCATTTCAGAGCGGCAGCTTTTCACTCAACTTTGTTTTTTTTTTTGTTTTGTTTTTTTTAGCAGCTTGTTACATTGCATTCAAAAGCTGATGTGATGCACATAAAACATGATGCACAACTCATCAGTGAAGCACAATCAGCTCCTCCACAGGCATTTAAATGCTGCTCACATGTTGATGCATCAATAACCCCAAACTTCTGCGCTTCTTATTTATTTATTTATCTTTGCAGTCAGTTACCCCTTAATCCCTTATTTACCCCTTAAAGGCTGTATTTCCAGGAAAAAAAAAATAAAAAACGAACCAAAAAAAACTATAAATACACTTGAACTTGTTTCCTGTTTACATAATGACTTGAAATGAGCTGCGAGGGGAGAAATAGAGGTCATCTGGCTCCCCCTGTTGTCAAATCATGAGACCAGAGGAACATAATGTATTTTTTCCCCAGGATGTACAGTTGATTCCTTTCTTGTGAAGCCTCACGAATTGTCATCTGCAAGAACTGACTCCATACATCCAGCAGCAGGACTTGTAGCTGTGTGTGTGTGAATACAGGCTGCGCGCTTCATGCTAAACGTCGTCAGTGAACAGCTGGATGCTACTCGGCTAACGAGCTTTAGCAGAGCCGCTTCTGCAGAGATCAGGAAGGCGCTGCAGGGACTGGAGGGATGGGTCGCAGCCTGGTGAGGAACATCACCGATCAGGCTATATGCTGTCGCTGTTTTTTATTTATTTATCATAAAGTCGTGTCTACGGAGAGGTAAAGTACCAGGCTTGTTGAGCTTGTTGTGTTGTGTGCGCAGTGATCAGAGAGGATGAGGAGCCGCAGTAACTCAGGAGTGCGGCTGGACGGTTATGCCAGGCTGGTCCAAGAGACGATCCTGTGTCACCAGGTGAGTCCACACATGCAGAGCAGAGACCGGTGCAAACAAGTGGGATCGTTTACTTTAGCAAAGTAGAGTAAAGGTAATGCTGTCCATAAGAATCAGTTTTCATCAAACTGCACTTCATGCAGAAGAATGCAGAAGTTCCACAAGTGAAAGTACTTATTATGCAGCATGATGCATGTCACAGTGATACATATTGAATACTTGGATTATAATTATTAATGCATTACCATGTCAGTATAATGTTTGAACTACTTTACATACTAACTGCTACCTTAATGGATTCTGTTGATTCTATTTTGTTTAAACAGACATTATAGAAGAAGAATACATGGATAGATTGTCTTAAATGAGCTGTAGCAGTTTTAGAAGAGTGTTGCTGAATATATAATTGATGTAAATGGTAAAGAAACAACCCACAACTTTTGCTTTTGAAGGCCATGAGGGTAATTTCATTCTTCTATGAAATATCTTCGTCAAGAATGTGCACTAAGGCCTTTTTTTTTTTGCTTTAGTAGGGCCTGACTTGTATTGTTATATTGAAGGACAATGATTAATAAGTGCAGTTAAAGTTGAAAGTTGCACAAAATACAAGTACACAAGCAGCTTAGATTTGTTGTATAGTGTGCTTGTATAATTTTGATTTCCACTATTGTATTTGCAAGCAGGGACTCCTTTAAAATTCATCTGGTGTTGTATTTTTGTAACTTTTTTTTTTTTGTCCTGCAGAAGTGTTGTAGATTTGCGGATGTTTTGTAACCCCTGTGGGTTAAGGTTTAACCAGACCGATCTACATAGAAATAAACAAAGTGTGAGCAAAGTTCATCCTCTGGAACAGGCTGAGGACCGGAAAGCTATGCACCTTTATCTATCCGCTCTTGAGTTCACACAAAGCCACAGTCAACTGCTGTCTAATTTAATACTGTGACCGAAAGGCAACACAGCTGATGGAAACAGAGCCAGTTTTCCATGCACAGAATACATGTCATCGTGTAGGTTTAATATCAGGGACGGGGGGAGCAATGAAAGCTCCTCCACAACAGCTGAAACTGAAACTATGTAAATTGCTCTATAATTACGTAGTTAACTTGAAACTTAAAATGACATTTACTTAAATAGATATACATAGAGACTAGATCATTAAACGTTTTTGTTTTTTTCAACTTGCATCAAAACCAGTAGGAAATACTGCTACTACCACTTGTGATAATTATAATACACTGTAAAAAGTAAGTCATGATAAAGATGATCAAATTATTTAGAGTTGGAAGTAACAGTTGGTCGTAATACCAAATGGATGCAGTGCTCAGCATCTTAAATGTGAGCAACGTTTGGTGTTTTTTACCATTTTATATGATAAACTGAATATCTTTGAGTCACATTCAGTCTGTTGGCCTGAAAGGGAAGATATCACTTTCAGTTGTTGGAATTTGTGATTTGATATTGTAAACTATGTTCCAATGACTTTAAAAAAACAAATCAATCAATTAATTAATAAAGAAACTAATTGGCTGATAAATTGATTCTTGAAAAATGGTGAAAATGGTTGCAATAGCCTACCTACGAGGCAAAGCCCAGGGCTTCAACAGTCACTGAAGTCATTCTGTCACAACTGAAGGTAGTTATGACAAGTTATGGACATTTACATGCAGTCATACCGTCTTCTTTGCTTCTGATTCTTCGCTTTTGAATTGCCCCTTGGGGATAAATAAAGTTATTTGGATTGAATTGAGCTGCAAGGTGCCTCGGTGGTTAGCACAGTTGTCTTGCAGCAAGAAGGTCGCTGGTTCACGTCCTGGTGAGGACACCCGGGATCTTTCTGCATGGAGTTTGTATGTTCTCCCTGTGCAGCGTAGGTTCTCTCCGGGTTCTCTGGCTTCCTCCCACAAGTTTCAAAAACATTTAAGGTTAATTGGTGATTCTAAATTGTTCGTAGGTGTGAATAATGGCAGCTGGTCAGTAAAAAGTCAGTTTACAGAGTTTCTTGTATCAAACAAACAGTTAAAAGGGGGATTTTAAATGTGAGGGTGTCTTTACTGTAACTGTATCTCTTGTGTGTGTCTTTGTTTCAGAACCCAGTGACAGGACTTCTCCCTGCCAGCACCCAGAAGAAGGATGCCTGGGTGCGGGATAATGTTTACAGTATCCTGTCTGTGTGGGGGCTCGGCATGGCCTACCGCAAGAACGCAGATCGCGATGAAGACAAGGCCAAAGCCTACGAACTGGAGCAGGTGTGTTTGCACCAGAAAGAGGCAGAGAGATACAGGGTTAATGTGTACACCAGTACCTGTTTGTTCTGTCAGCTATGTTCAGTTAAATATTTTAGAAAAACAACAGCTAGAAAAGTGTTTGATGTCTCTTTCTCATTTGATTCATTTACACAAATGTAGGCTCAAATATTGCAATCATCCAACACAAACTATTGCACTGACAAATTCATGTTAAAACCGCTGAACTG